CATTCCTGGGAGACGAATCAGCTTGATTTGGGGCTGTAACTGACGATATCATGCACTGAATAAGACAAGTGGCATGATAATCACTTATGCAGGTGCAGGAACACGCTCAGACGGCGCAGGAGTTCCTCGCGGTGTCCGACCACGAGTTCATGGCTGGGGACAACCTCCAAGCGTCTGAAAAACTTTGGGGCGCAGCGTCACATGCAGTAATGGCGGTGGCTCAACAAAGAGGCTGGCGATATCACGAAGCACCGAGACTTACGTGGAAGCGTTTGCGCGGTCACGCAGCTCTCTGAAGTGACGAGTGACCCGTCGATTGTCGCCGGATTCATAGCAGCCCAGAAATTCCACGCCAACTACTACCACGACTTCATAGAGGACTGATTACGATGACGACCGGGCGGTCGTGCGGGCTTTCATAGAGCGGGTGCTGACCCTGCCGGTCATGTGCTGAACGGGGACTCCAACTCGCCTGCTGAGAAGTACCCGGATACGGCCCAGGGGTTTCTCGCGGCGGCGGACCATGAGTTCATGGCGGCAACTATCTGAAGGGGTCTGAGAAGATGTGGGAGGCGTCGTCGCTTGCGGTGACTGAAGCGACGCGGCGAAGCGCTGGCCCTGCTCAGCGTCACCACGAGAGCTGCTCATGACGGTGCTCAGCGAAGCTCGCCGACGAGGTAGGCGCGACCGTCTCGATTGCGGACGGTTTCGCGATCGCAGAGAAGTTCCGCGCCAACGCCGAGTTCGACTTCATGGAAGACTTCGACTACGACGATGACCGGCGGATCGTTACAAGGTTCGTAGAGCGGGTGATTGCCTTGGGTTAATGATAGCCCACATAGTTGCTTGGTCTGTCAGGGCCAGCCTTCGACAGCTGCTGCGGGCGCGAACGGTTGTTTTAGGCGCACCGTACTGAGTGGGTGTACCATTGGAGAATTATCCATTCAGGAACCCTGTAACCAGTCTCAGGAACTCGTCTGGGCGCTCGATCTCTGGACGGTGGCCGCAGTTGTCTATGACCGCAAGATCGGAGCCAGGGATCGACTCGTGATAGACCTGTGAGGCGCTTAGGGGCACGATCGGGTTCTCCTGCCCCCACCCCCCCCCCCCCCCCCCACAAAAAAAAAAAGGGGGGATAAAAAAAAAAAAACCAAAAAAAAAAAACAAAAAACAAAAAAAAAACAAAAAACCCACAAAACAAAAAAAAACCCAACAAACCCCCCCCCCCCCACCCCCCCCCCCCCCCCCCCCCCCCCCCCCCCCGATCTGGGTCGGCAGGTTCCTCAGGCGGCGCAGCAGGTGGGGAAGGGCGCGATAGTGCATGTAGGGACGCCACGTTAGGCGGCACGCCTGCTCGCGGGCGACCTCCCAGTACTCGGCTGCTCGGGCGTCGGCTCCTCTGGGCAGACGGCCTGGAACTCGTTCTCCGGGTCGAGGAAGCTCTCAGTCAAGGTACTCCTTCGCGACCACCAGGAACATGTCGAAGATCTCACCGTGTCGGCGGCTTGATGCCCATTGGGTTGACGAGCACGAGCTTGCTGAACCGCTTGGGGTCCATAGTGGCCATCTCTGCGGCAAGCCAACCTCCGAACGCGAAGCCCATCAGGTTGGTCTGTTCGATTCCCATGTCGTCCAGCGCGGTCAGGTACCAGCCGGCGAGGTCGCGCATGTTCATGATCCAGTCGATGTGAGGGGAGGGGAATCGCCGAAGCCTGGATGAGACGGGATGGTGAGAGCGAAGTCTTGTGAAAGCGACTCGTGGAAGTTCATCCAGCCGGGGTGTCCCAACTCCTCGTGAAGGATCAGCAGCGGATCGCCCGAGCCGCCTGTCACCACCTGCACGGTGGAGCCAGCGGCCTCAACCATCTGTTCAGTCCAAGTCTGTGAGGCTGTCGTCAATTTGTGTCTCTCTTCTCAGTATCCGAACAAACCAACAAACCAAACCAAACCACACCAACAAACCAACCACACCAACAACAAACACACCCCAAAACAAACCCCACCAAACACAACCAACCCCAAACCAACCCACCAAAAACCCCACCAAACACAACCCACCCACAACACACCCCAACAAACCCACACACCCCAAACCACCCAACACCCCAACACCCAAAAAACCACCCAACCACACCCCCCCCCACCCACAAAACACCACCAACACAACCAGTTGAGGCATATTGTATAACACGCGCTCAACGACTGTATTAATAGGCGCGCCACTCTACCCAGCTATCCAGGTACACCTCTGGCCTGGCGTAAAGGTCTCGATCTCGAGGCGCTGGCTGTCGTTGTAGAACCTGCCCCTGACACGTATGCGGTCCAGGTCGCGGTCGATGCCGTCGGCGAACTGCCGGGCTGAGTCGGCGCGTTCGGAGCTAGCGACTCCGGCATGGACGTTACACTTGGCTGGTGTGGGCGAACACTGGCTGGTGGAAGCTGTCGCGGTGCGCGCCCGCGAGCCGGGCGGCGATCCAGCCGTCCGTAGAAACGGGCCGGTCGATCTCGAGCCGTCCGTTCGTGGAACCGTCGGGATACGATTCGCGGCCGACAATACGGCCGTTGAAGACGATCTCCGCCTGGGCGATGGGACGGTGTGACTGCCAACTTGCCAGCGCGGTTAGCGTCTCTCCGGGTGTCGCGGAGACCTCCGCGCCGGGACCCTGGCCATCCACCTTCAGCGACAGTGCGGGGCCGTTGGTGATGAAGGTGCGTCCGTTCTTCAGGGCGTCCAGCCAACCGGGGTACTCGAACTCCGCGCCGTGTAGGCGTACACGCGGTTCGCGCTGCAGATGAACCAGTCGGAGCCGGTCGAGGCAGGCAGCCGGATGCCGGCGTTCAGCATCCGGTAGTAGATGTCGTACTCGATGTCAGTCCAGTAGGGGTTTCCGAAACAGTGAGGGGCGTCGAGTATTCTGCCACGGCCTGCGTGCCACGGCGCCTCCATACCCTGACCGTTGTGACACCAGATCACGATGCCGCCCTGCCTGTGGGCATCGTCGCAGGCGTAGCTGAGGGGAGGGTAGTCGGGGTCGAACGAGTCGATCAGCACGCCTCGGCTGACAGGATCGACGACGTTGCGGATGTTCGAGCAGCATGATGTGCCCGTACCCCGGCCCCCACGCCTCGAAGTTGTGCCGGTTCTCCTCGCCGCACTGTACATAGTGGTGGGCCGATGAGAACTCCGTGAGCATCCCGGTCGGGTACTTGTTGGTAGCGTACTCGAGGTCCCACCGTTTCATGATGCTGACAGCGGTCATGCGCAGGTCCTCGACGCGGATCGAGCATGAGCCGCTCGTCTGGCCGCGTTCTCCTTCTCGTCGTAGTGGATGTGCGTGTTGCCCGGATGCCAGCCGCGGTCGCGGAGATCGGTCCATCGCTTCAGCGTGACGTCGGCTGTAACCGTGCCGCGTGAGGGGGCGTCGAGGTCGATCTGTGCGGGGACGTACTCGGTGCCTCGCTCCACGACGACCTGCACCTTGCCCCTGGGCACATCGACGTCGAACGTGCCGTCGGAGTAGAAGAACTGGTCTCCGGTGCCGACCTTGAGGATGGCGTCGTCCGGGTGGGCGAACTGGCCGGTGGAGGCGACCACTCGCACTCTGGCGGCGACCGGTTCGCCGGTGTCAGCGTCGATTATCGAGCCTGTTAGTTTGGCCAATTCACCCTCACCCCCGTATCAGGTACGGGGCATGCTCCAGCCCTCTCCCCCGTATCGAGTACGGGGCAGGCTCTGAGGGAGAGGGGCCTTTCGTGCCGATGACGTAGGAACGATGCCCTAATGCCCGAATCCACGAAGGCGGG